TTATGTTTCTAAACCATTTACGAGTAATTATTAAAATAATTTTTAATTGTATGATGTAATTTAATGTCTGGAGCCTTTCTTTATTTTAAAAGCATTTGAGTTGAAAGTTCAACAGACAATTTGCATGAACTTTTGAATAATTTACATGAAGTGGTGTGGAAATTAGCGTTAAATCCAATTTACGAAACTGAGAATCATATATTAAAACATAAACTACCATTTGAAGAAATGTTCCAAACAAAGTGCAGAAAAAATGGTCGTCCTGCATATGTAATGCAGTAATGCGATAAAATTTTCTTGCTTTGTTTTGATACAATATAAATTATTTCATGTGAAATAAAGATTTATTTTTTTAATTTCAATTTCTGCGGAATTTACATAGTTTCAATAATTATTTTTTAATGGTTTCAAATTTAATGCTTTAATAAATTAGAATTAAATAAATTTTGTTCACCACTACATGCAAATAATTTATATCCTCTGACTACTACGGAATTCTCTCAGTTTCAGAAAATATTTTTCACAGTTATATCAAAGATAATTTATTGATGCTTTATTAAATTGGAATAAATGAATTTAGTTCAACGTGACATACAAATAATTTAAACAAATGTGTACAGAGCCAAATAAAAAACGAACCACCCTGAACGAAATCAGATTTTTAAAATTCCATTTCTCAGGAACTATTCGACCAATTCCACTCCAATTATGTATTTTTCCACGTAAAACTACATTCTTATAAATTATGTCAAAAATTGTATGCCCTTGTGATTCAAAAATTTTTCAATTATAAGTAAATAAAATAATAAAAAATAATAAGCATTTACTAAAAGTTATTTTTTGCATGAAAATATCTTTGGATAAACGAATTTTATAACTGTATGCAAAATTTTTTAATTTCGCTTAAAAAGTTCTCGAGATATGGCGAAATACGCACAAATTAACATTAAGATGTCCTAACTTTGTACAAATCTTCTGACCAAACTATTGCGACCATACCTCCCAGAGTGCGGCTATCCCCTATATTTTAGCTGTCAAAAATCGGAATCCTTCAAAATTAAGTTATGTTTATTCAGAGAAAGTAGGTTTTTGTATCTGATTTCGTAACTAATATTATCGTTTGCACTTATTAAGTGCTTATTTGAGGTCACCCCCTCGAACAATTAGGTTTGAATCCTAGAACGTGAAGATTCAATCATTAGATTAAAAGTTATTCAGGGTTGTTCGTTTTTATTTTGTGCACCGTACATTAAGAATAGCAATCAGACAAGCTTTTGAGTTCTAGCTAAAGCTTTCTAAATATGATATTTATTTATTTTTAAAGAAAAAATTTTTTTGTCTTTGTTTATTACAGTTGAAAAAAAGTATTTCACACAAATCTCAAATGTTGAAGTGTAAACTTAGAGTAAAAATAAGTGCACATTAGACAGTTCTCGAAAACAAATTGAAAATTAAAAGATTAAGAAAATACTAAGGTTAAATTAAATGTCATAATAAAATACCCCAGACAATTTCAGGTATCAATCTTTTTTGTTAAAAAGTATTTTCTAGAAAATAAATAAAATAAAACACTATTTTCTTCTGAAATAAATCTTCTAAGAAAGTTTTCACCAGACTTGCGAATTCTAAAGGCAGATACATCTACCTTAAATCATTTGTTTCCCGAAGAATTAAATTTTAAGTAAGTTCGTGATTTATTAATAATTCTCTAGATTAGTTTGAAACCTTTGACAAAAGGGAATGTTCTCTTGAGAGTTTCCAGTAACAATTTCACATGCTTTCGTAATTTATACTCCGGGCCATGTTTCCTACTATACTTAAATATTTTTAAAATCTGAAAATTCTTACTCAGAAAAGTTTTCTCAGAGAAATGAAACCAATAGTGAAATTTATAAAGTTGAAGTCAAAATAGATTTGATTTGGTGATTTGACAACTTTCTACGCTCTTTCTTCTGGTGGTAGCTATTTCTGGTGGTTACGTTCTAAGGCTGTTTTTCGAAAGCTCCATAAAGATGTGAAATGATGTTTTTTTACGAATAATATGTTATTTTTATAATTCCTGGGAGTTTACAACAGTTACCCATGACTGCTTGGTATAGCTTATCTAGACTTATTGTTACTATTATTAGGTTCCTTGGGGTATTCATCCACTTTTCTTTCGAGGTTAATATCTTCCTTACCTGTACTATGCATGATTCTTTATCGCCTTACGAGATCATCGCCAACAAAATCAATTATTTTTATTTTTTGAAATGCCGGATGCTATTTAGGCAAAGTATGAAAGAATCGTCCTGATGAGGTTATTATGTAAATGATGTGCTTATTACTGTGAATGACCGAAATCGGTGGTTGTTGACTTTCACCGGTGAATGTTGACAATCAAATTAGTCGCTTTGGTGAATGTCCGAAATATTTATTACATCAGATTTGATATTAATTTATTCGTGGATATAATTACATTCATTCGATATTTTAATACTTACTGACGATAGATTAGAACAAACATCAGTGTTTGGAGTATCGGGCAAATGTATACCGGGCAATGCACTTGACTTTAAAAAACATCAGTATTTGGAGTATCAGGCAAATGTTTACCGGGCAATGGCACTTGACTTTAAAAAAACATCAGTGTTTGGAGTATCGGGCAAATGTATACCGGGCAATGGTACTGAACCTTAAAAAAACATCAGTGTAGTGTATACCGGGCAAATGTATACCGGGCAACGGCACCTAACCAGACCTAGTATGACTAGACCTTTGGTAAATGTCCGAAATATATACTTAGTCTAGTGCCGCTTTTGCTATACTTTAAATATTTAAAAAAAATTAAACAAAGCGTTTGAATCAATTTTAAACTGATAATGAAATTATTGCTTTAAAATTAAAAAAAAATAATAATAAAAACTGCACTAGATAAGAGTAATTGAAGTAGTTGTTTTATACAGAGCATGTGTGGAAAAAAATTAAAAAAAAAATTATCCAGGGGCATCTAAAAGTGGATGAATATCCCAAGACACCCTATTATTATTACTTATTGTTACTATTGCTATTATTATTATTACCTATTATTTCTGACTTATCTAAAGCCATCAGCTATGATTATTCTAAAAATGTAACTAAACGTCAATATGTAGAAATGCCGCAGTTTTGTAATAATGAAAAGTGTTTGTGGTCTAATATTTTAATATTTAAAAACACACTCCAATGCTGCATTATTTGGGCTCATAAAAATTTAGCAAAGATTTTGATATTTTTTATCTATATGGAAAAATGGATGTCATCAAACTGGCGATTTTTAAAAAAAGTATAATAAACTTTTGAAATATATAGTTTATTTGTCTGTTCTATAGCCCAGATAGTTCTTCACAACAAGATGATATATTTAGTTTGAAATCAACGCTTTGCTTCAATAGTTGGATGCTTAAACTGTGCCTTTTTTATTTTTCTTGGCGACAGATCTTCGGAAAACCGTGTTAATGTATGGTTCTTTGTTTCGCAAATTTGATTATAAGGTGCTTTCCACACAGCTACTAGTAGAACATTGAAGTGTCCATATAAAACGCCCCTTTGTTTCCGCCCTCTCTGGTTGAGGTTTTCAAAACGTTTGCTAAATTACCAACAATAGTGAAAGATTTAGCTTCTAATTGTCTATAAATTTAATTTTAAATATTTTGCAAAAACCGTAGCAATTGAAAACCCATATAGTACGTAAATGTTGCTATTCCCCATTATACATGACTACAATTATTAAATAACTTTATAAAAAAATACGGTAATTTTGCATTTAAGCGTCGGTTTTCTTGTATTAGTTACCACTTCTGCTTTTTCATTAGATGCAGGTGAAGGACTTAGGTTAAAAATAAATTAAGTGTTAACGTATTTAAAACTCTCAATTCTACCTTTCTCAGAAAGATTTTTCTAGGGCAGATATATTTTATGCTTTAATAGTGGTTTAAAGCAATTTTAATAATCAAAATAGTATATTTCTTTTCAAAATAGAATTATGACGATGATGTTGTGGGAGTGCTACCAAGTTCAAGCGAAATTTTAATGAATACTGCTTTGCTTTAAAACATTAAAAGTCCTTCACTGATTATAAAAGTTGTAAGAAAGTTAAAGTGAAAAATATGTTTGACATGACGCCATTTTGCTAAAAATAAATTTATAATAATCCAACTTAAATCAGGACACAATCGGTGAAAAATGTAAAAACTCGTATAGAAAAATTGAAGAAACAAATTGTTTTATTATTCCCTATCTCTCAAACTATATTGTTAAAGAAATTATATTTAGAACTTAAAACTGCTCAACCCCTTCTCCTAAAATTAACACGTTCACGACGGGGTGACCCACCGGTGGGTCACGCTAGATTGTCTCATCTTGACAGCGCACCGTAGTAAAAACTGGTAACAATAAATTGCATTTTTTAGTTTTTTTCCGGGAATAATAAAAATCTATAACTACCAATTGTTTTTAGCGGATGCAATTTTTATTTTGAATTGCTTCTTCGTCGTGATAAGTTTCCTTATAGTGAATTGTTATTGTTGAGAATAGATTAACTCCTCCCGAATATTATCTAATATTGAAATAGTTCTTGTACCAGTATCTTCTCTTTTTCCGTACCAGTATTTTCACTTTTCCCGGCGTGAACGTGTTAACGAAGATTACCTTCAAGTTGAATTATGAAGTTGTGTTCGTATTGCTGCTGAAAAGAATGTATATTTTCATATTTACACCTGTTCTTAGTCCAAAACGCGTGCTTTTTTACTTCTTCCGTTGGATAGCTTGTAGTGGGTTGACATCAAGTGGCTTTTCATATAAGCTTTTGCCTCATTAATAATATTCGAGCCGGCGAAATGCAGATATTGTCATGGTGAGCATCCAGCCTGTTTTTCAGGCTGCAGTGCAGGACCCAAAGGAAAACCAGGAGGAACGTAATTATGGTAGTAATTATGGATATTCTTGTTAAAGTAGCTGAATGTTTATATTTGCTTTTTCAGATCACTTTATGCACTGTTGGCTATGGAGACACTGTCCCGATCACGTGGCCTGGGAAACTGATTGCGGCCTTTTGCGCCCTTCTTGGTATTTCATTCTTCGCCTTACCAGCGGTGAGTACATGTATCTAGTGAATTACCTAAATATCTGAATATCTATATATATATTTCTCTTACACGGCGATAAAAAAAAGCCTTATTACAACTCCCCGAATGGCAACGCTAGAAAATTAGCCAATGACTGCCGCTAAAAATGTCACATGCCAAATCTAAATTAGGTGGCTCAACATATAGCGCTTCTANTCTACTCTAGTATATGAAAAGTTTATACATCTGCTTATTTATCTGCACACAGTGCTATGAATTTTATTTTTTGCATTATATTTTACAGTGTATTGAACAATTAAATAATAAAGCTTTCTGATTAATTTGCTCAATATATTTTAATAATTTCACTAATTATTCGAAAGTTTCATCACAAGTCTAGTCTGGTCCTTTTCCCATTTATGTTGTAATGAGAAGATTAGACAGATTACGAAAAATGCAACGAATAATGGCACATGTTAAAAGGTCTAGTATAACTCAAGTGGGTTATATATAAATTTTAAAATCAATTAATTGTGGTGGTGTGAAAACTAACTTTAAATCAAATTCACAAAACCAAAAAATCATACACTAATGCATAAACTTAGTTACCACTTTAAGCAATTTTCCCAAAAAGCGCTGAAGGTTGGCCATCTTATATCTTTGCGTATATCATACTATGCGTGCATTCATGTATGTAAGATTAAAACACAACGAAAACAGTAAACGAAATAAAACAGGGGAAAAGAATATTAAACAATTGAAGAATAAAAATATGTAAATAATAATTAAGGAAAATAAAAATAATCGCAAGAAAATTTTAAAAAAATACATCGAAAAAATTTAATCACATCATTAGCTCATACGATATTATATCAGCAAAAATTGCATTCACAATTATAATTTTTGTTTAAAGTTTTTACTATTTATTCTTTCTCTTTCATGAAAAAGCTTTTTTTTCGTTTCTTTTCTTGTTTTCTTTGTGTTTTTATCTTATTATGGATTCTTATGTGCTTGTAGCTAATGAGCAATTAACAAAATGACCATCACAATAAATCTTAAATTCTTAAACTTTCTATGAATTTTTTTTTCTAATTCTTTACTGTATAAAACATTCATACAACTGTTTTTTTTTCTTTCTTTAAAAGAAGGAACTGTCCTCAAATAAAGACGTAAGATATCTAAGAAAAATTTACTTCAAGATAATTTTGTTCCATATAGGAAATCTAAGGAAAAAAAAGCTTTTTTTAAAAAAAAATATAACTCAAGTTTTAAACTATATACCATATAGAATAATTTCTAAAAGATACCATAATTCTAAAGAGATACTGTAACTCTAAAAAGATTAGTTCTAACCTTAAACTATTTGAAAAAAATAATATATTATTAGACAGGAAATAGTTTTGGTAGAATGAATTACTTTTAAGATGGATAAATATTAATTTTCTTTTTTGTTTACCGAAGATCAGAAAGAACGCAATTTTTTATTTGAGTTTTTTTTAATTAAATTTACGCTATTTTGTTTTACTATTATATTCTCTATTCCATTTTTTATACATGAACAAAGTTGAAGAGTCATATTTGTGTGGTTTTTAAATATTCTGGCAATAAAGCTTCTTTATTTGGGGATTATTTAAAATGAAGTAAATGGGGTCTAATTTTTATTTTATAACGGCTACTTCTTTTCCTGAAAAGCTTTAGTAATTTTTTACACAAAAATGTTTTTTTTTTACATATAAATGTGTATAAAAAAATTTATTTTTTATGCACATTTTTCTTTTGAAACATTTATTTACGAATGATTAAAAAAACACATTTTTTTAGTAATTAGTAATTTATGTGCAAAAAAATGTGACAATCCAAAAGAAGAAGGAAAAAACAAACGATGAGTGTAATCACAAAAAAAATTCTTTTCTCATTTTGAAATTGGATTACTTTTTAGTTTTTTACTGTGATAATTAATAATTATAATGAGAATAGTTAATGACATTTTTAAATTTTACGTTTTTAACTTTTATTGAGTTCATTTTCAAAGATAAGTACATGCTTTTACAAAGCTTTTTAAACTCGAATGCCCTTTGGCTATTTTAATTTTATTATTTTGTTATAACGATGTAATTAAACCCTTAAATATGTTCTTGTTATGCTGACAATTTTTATTATTTCTTTATTAACGAAATAGAGAAATAATAAAAATTGAAACATTTGATTAGCTCGCTCAACAGAGATTATTAATTATCTCTATAAAAATTCATATTTTTTACATTAAAAATGTTAGATTTTTCTGTCAAAATCGGAAAAAAAAATATCTTTGAAGTCTCGGCATCTTTCACAACGGTACTCATGCTTACAACGCCTCATCAATTTAGATTTATGCAAAAAGAATTCTGCAAACTCTTTAAATAAGTTAAATTATCAGAAACTAGTTAGTAGTACTAGTTAGTAGTTCGAAAATGATCTTTTTTTTAAAATCAGGGGTATTCTACTTTTTCACTTTGGGGAACTTCTTGAGGTTGCCGTTTTCTTGATGAAAGAAACAGAAAAAAGACATCAAAGCTGTGTGTTACTTAAATTTGCAAAATTAATACTGCATCCTTATTTTATCAAAAGACAAACATCTTAATTAGATAATGAATGGTATGGTATAGATCAGAGGTGACCAACCTGTTGCTTGCGAGCCACATGCGGCTCTTTGAAGGATTATTTGTGGCTCTCGATAAATGTACCCGAGTTCCCTTTTTATTCTAGTGCTATTATATTTTAAAAAATTATTATCGTTCCGTATGTGTTTCAAAATGTCTTTTAAATTACTGACAACAAATATGAAAGACTAAGTGCAACGTAGTTCAATTCAAGGTGAGTTTTTCATTTCCAATATAATTATGACACAAAAAGCAGCTGGAGAATTAGAATTAATAGAGATGCCAGAAGATCAAGCTCTACAATTAAAATATAAGTCGACGTCGATTACTGAATTTTGGAAATTTGTACCAGAATGTCCAGAATCGAAGTATCCTGTATTAAAAAAGGCTGATTGTAGAATTATTTCAATATTCGGAACAACGTACTTATGTGTATCATTTTATTTCACTTTAAAATTCGTGAAATCCAAAAACCAATCAGTATTAACTAACCAGTATCTCAAAGAATTACTGAGAAGTGCTGACACCTATTATTCACTAAATTTTAAAGAATTATCAAGAGAAATAAAATAAATGTGTTTAATATTTAAATTCAATACACATATTTTGTACTTTTCCGTTCTCAATAAATATAATATATGTAAAAAAAATTTAATACCTTTTGCATACCTTTTAAATACGTATTTAATTGCGGCTCGCGAAAAATTTCAAATTTTGAAAAATGGCTCGACTATTAAGGGGCTTGGCCACCCCTGGTATATATAACGGGATTTTTTTTTAATGATATATTGTATGAATAATTAACGAAAACAACAATACTTTAAATTATAGCAAATTAATAAACGGAAAAGATTTCAAATGACTTTGCTGTGATTGTTTTTATTGCAAAGCATTTTTCAATAAATGCAAATAAATGATGCTCCCTCTGTACCAAATTACCTACTACATTTGAATACTTTTGTACTGATTATTGAATCTGATGATTTTGTTCAAACATTTTTCAGAGATTTCCGGCTGTTATACCATCAATTAACTATATTTACTTATTGAGCATTCACTCCTTCCCTTCTTAAATCAAAACCAAATTAGTTTTAAAAACTCAGGGTTCGCAAGCTCTTTAGCCACACTCTATTTTGTGAGAACTCTTCCACCAGTAATTACATAAGATGTATTTTAGAAGTATAATCTCGCTGGTGTCGATTGGCTAACTTGCATTGGAAGTTATTTATGACTACACCTACTTGAAATGTAGAACTAATTTAGAACAAAATTTTCGACCTCAAAGTAGCAACTAATTTTCGATTGAGGGAGTATTTTTTTTAATAAGTAATATTATTAAATGATGATTTTGTAATTTATCTAAGTAGAGTATTTTTTTATAAACATAAATTGATAAATATAAATTAATAATTATACTTATGTATGTACTTATGTATATTCACTTTCACAAGCATATTACTTTTAAACGTAACAAGCATATTCGTTGTGTTTCAACGTAAGAGTATAATTTGGGACAAAATTTTCAACCTAAATGCAGCAAACTGGGACGGAGGGAGTATTGTTTCTTATTAAATATAAATAAATAATAATTTTTTAATAAATATTAGTCAATAAACATAAATTAAAAAATATGTATAAAATATTTATGAATATTTTCGTATATTGTCTTCACGCATATTGTCTTTAAGAATTTGTTCTGCTATCGAAGTTAAAATTTTCCTGAATTTTGGCGCTTTAATTACGCATATAGTAGGGAGACCTAGGGAGACTAAAAATGTAAAAAGTGGCGGAAACTTAATTCATTTTTTTTATTTATAATATATTTAATTATTCACTCGTAACTGCCACTATGACTTATATTTCAAATTATTTATATTTAAAATAAAAATAAAATATCGCTAACCAGAAATAAGCTGAAGGAAATATACTCGAGTAAGTTTTTAATTACTTTCAATAAAATATTGAACTTTATTATCCACCACGTTTTGAACTCATAGTCGCCAGTGTTGCACTCTTTCAAAGTCTCTAGGGTTCTGCGAAATTCAGGTTTAAGATTCCTGACTCAGGTAATAGTCTTTTCTTATTACTTTTAAAGGGATATTTTTCTATATAATGCCTTTATAATTCATGAAAGTTCTCTTAGACGATCCTTTAATTATCAGTTTAGAGCTATAAAGGCAAACGTTGCATAAATACGTTTCTGTCACCTCATTAAAATAACAAAATACTCTTAATTAAGTCTCAAAATCAAAACCTTATTTTTATAAAAATTAAAGATCTTTTTCGAACAGTCTCTGAAAGTTAAAAGAATCTTCTTTTATTTGCACTCAATAATATTGCTTGTTTAAAAATTGATATCATTGGAATAAAATTTTCTCCTAAAAGAAT